TCTACCATCTATCACTTCCATTTTGAACGCTCTGAGTCGATGAAAGCAAATTTCGCGCAAACCCCGTCCCCTGTGGGCGGAGTCTGTACCCGTCACCTACCATTAGCTTTCCCATCCTGTAGGCTACACCTCTACCAAATTTGAACGCTCCAAGTCCAAATTTACTATTTTCCAGGAAGCCCCACCCCCCGTGGGCGGAGTCTACACCTGCAATCTACCATCAGTATTCCCTTTCTGCCGCCTACACCTCTACCAAATTTGAACGCACCAGGTCCAATTTACTATTTTCGAGGAAGCCCCGCCTCCAATGGGCGGAGTCTACACCTGTCATCTGCCATCAGTTTTCCCTTACTGCCGCCTACACCTCTACCAAATTTGAATACTCGAGAACAGGAGCTGCACATTTTGGTGAACTACAGCTTTCGCGCACGGCCCGCTCCTAGTAGGACACTCCGCCCCTGGTGGGCGGAGCTAGCTAAGTCACGTGTACCCAAGGAGTTCGGCTCCCCACCTGTTCTAACCTGAGCTGTTCCAGTTGATTTCCAAACGGCACCATATAAGTTAGTGTTGCTGACAAACAGACAAACGTACAAATGTACAAACGTACAAACGTACAAACATACGGACATTTGCGGTTTATATTTCAGGTCGCCCAGAGTGCTTCCTAGGGGGGCAGACATCGATGGGATTGGTTCTCCTTCAGGTCCAAATAAAATTAATGCTCTATCTGTACAGTTTGGCTGCCCTATGATACGAAATTGTAAACAGTAAGTTTTGGTATAGTGTTACTCTCCAACCAATCGAAGTGCACCAACCTATCACTTTTTAGAATGGGATCCAGGATAGAGACGGAAACGTACCTTCACAACGAATTTCTGCGGAAGTTCCTTGTCTTTGTGCTGCCAGTCCGGATCGATGAGCACCATTTTTGACATAAACCCCTGAAGAAGCAGTATGATGTCAAGCATAGGCCGGGCTCATCATAAAAAGCATTTGAGGCCATGTTTGGTTAATAAGGACTTTTGGGTGTTGAGTGTAACCAGCGAAAGACGAGTAAACTGACGAGATCATGTTTGGTTGGAAAAGCTGGCAAATGCACCGTTTTCTCAAATGAACTACCGGCTGTAGGATCTGAAAGAATTCCATCGTTGCTTTGGAATTCCGAGAGCACTTTAGCCGAAGTTATGAAGTATTATATTTCTGATATCCTCATTTGAAAATGTTGAAAAGTATGGGCAGGGTTGAGGACAAAATCTCACTGTTACCGACCCATATGACTGTGCAAAGGCATAGTTGAAGTAGTTGATGTAATAGCAAGAGGCGCCCAATCACACACCCATAGTTCAAGGTTCGAAGAACTGATTGATTCCTGCCTATTCCAATGAAGCCTTCCATCCCTCCGAGACCTGTTAATTTGTACTAGAGTCGTATGGGAGCAATAAAGTACTGAGTGGTACATTGGCTGACCACTGCAAATCATTGTATATACCACACAATCGTTCAACCGCCACTATGTACGATTGTGAATGGAAGTCGAATGCGGGAGCGCCTCCCAAACGGGATTGGTTGACGCCAAAAACTTCAAACGTATCCTTTACTTATCAATGTGCAGAACAAATGCGGATTCCTGCCTAGGTATTATGTACTCAGCATTCCAGCATGCCGTTGAGAGCTAAAGTTGTCCACCTCCCGTGTCGGGTACGCGAAAGAAGTGGGTACTGAACTACATCGGTTTCAAGATGTTTTTCCCCAAAGTCCAGCGCAGTTTACGGGTTGAATATTCTTGATCAAAGAAGCGTAACTGTTCAATGTTGTTAATGAGCTATAAACAGAATTGTACTTATCAGTTGATCGGCCGATGAAGTAAGCGCTAAAGTCAACAAATTCGTTGACTGTCACTTTTTATCATGAAGTGACAACGTGTGTAGTGGAAACAAACATGATGGGTACAGCTCGTGCCAAATAGGAACTATTGATCGATAACCTGGTAGCAAAATGTAATAGAATTGAACGCTTGCTTGGGAATAGCTCAGGCCCAAGAAAAGTTCTCCTTCGCAAAATGGAGCACGAGGGTCTCGCCTACAATATGGCCTACTGATTTAAATTTCAAGAAAAATTCTTATAATCTGGAGTTCCTCCCATACCACCATAATACGACTTCCGTCACAATTTTCCGAGAGAACGAGCTTTTCACTTGAATCGAGGCTCGCCGTCTTCTTCATGTGCTGCATTGAACCAATGATAGAGTGTCAGAAAAAAGGGGATTTAGGAGTTCAGTTCATCCACCACAAAATCATTTAGCAATAACCTAAGATGGGCGATGAAGATGATGTTTTCAATGATGGACCAGGGCACAGATGCGTTCTTCTAGAAGGAGAAGGACATGAAGCTATCCATGCATCTGTTGCGAAGTTAACCTCGTGGGAGTTGTCGAATTTGCTTGCTTTGGTGCAGTACTGTAAGGCACCTACAAGCATGGTGGCCACCAGGTCTAAAGTATCAGCTGAATATGGGATCGGATTAGCCAGAGGATGCCGTGTCTCCCGTGCTCCTCCGTCGGCCCCCGCTTTCTCTAAACAGCTTTTTTTAACAAGCCAGCCTTGAGTTTTGAATCCTGAAAGTCTCCTATTAAAAGTAAAATAAGAGGCTCTAAAGCCGACATTTCGCCCACTTACATTGCCATCTCCGATGTCCTTAGCAGTCTTATTCGGTCCGAAAGAAGCAATTGTGTTCAGTTCCCTTTGCATATCTTCCTCGATGTCTTCCCACGTGACATGAGTGCTATAGAGACCATCAGCAGGTGTGTACAAATTCAAAGACATGAGATCTACAAAGGTTTAAAGCATTATCAGAGATGTAGTTGTAAATTATTAAGAGGAATGAAAGAACAACACAAACCGGCCTGATTTACTAAGTTTAACTTAACGCTTTTACAAGAAAAAAAGAAGGCAGAGGAATTGTGCTGATGGTTCGTTTCAGTCAGCAATGAGTGACTTCACCATCTAAACACGTACTCTATCAGCCGTCACGAAAATACTCTTATCAGAAGGTGATTTTTGTGATAAAAAACGCTGATAACTTTCAGACTCAAATTTTTGACGCAATTTTTCCGCACCCCAAGTTTATTAACGGTGCAACATCGAAGGAACTTTTAATAAAGTTGTCCTTGACATCCATCCTCCTCTCAAGGCCGTTTTTCGATAAACTGCTTGGACTTTTTTCAGCTTTACGAGCTTCTCAGTGGGAAAATTCCTTTTCTCACTCAAATACTGGAGTGAACTGGAAACCATAAATTTGCAAATGCTTCCATTACCTCAAAAACTGTGAAGTGAAGCGTAGTTGATGTCTGAGAAGACTCAAGGCAAGTGATAAAGGGTAAAACATCCCCTTCGCTTTGAATTGTGGTAAAAAACAGAACCGGTGCCTTTTTCTGAAAGAAACCATGCATATGATACATTAATTGGTCTCTTATTGTAAGTATTCACTGAATGTTTTTGAAAGTCACCACAGTTTTGAATGAAGGTGTACTGCATGAATGCCAGTGAATTTGGGACCCCTCTACGCAGAAAAATTACTCTACCTCTATTTACACGCAGGTTGAAAGCAATTGACCAGCAAATTCCTCAGTAACATCATGCTCAACTTTTGAAGAATTTGGCCGCATGTGTGCTGAAGTGATCGCATCGTTCGGCCATGACAGAAATATTATTCGTGAAGGTTCCTCTGCAATTTCGAACATCATGACATGATTGTCAGGTTGTCGTACCGTACGGTAAGAAGGTTACTGTAAAGGGAGAATGAACCTTCAGTTTTGAGCCTCTTCCCATGGAATGAAAGAAATGAGAAACGAAGTGAGAGTGAAAAAGGAGTACATTGATCGCTAGGATGAATCAATAAGCTGATCCTCTAAAGTATATTGAGCATTTTCCTTTCCTTTTCATCATGTTCTAATAGAAAAATGCTTGAGGTATGCAGTAAGAACAACGACTCATTCGAGAGTTAATGGCAGGTTCTCGACGCCTATCCCATTCGTGGTTTACCCGTAGAATTCCTCCATCTTTCCAATGCATGTGCTGATTCTCAATGCTTATACATTGGAAAATATCGACACAAGGTTGGTAACTGTTCATCGAAAATGAGCTGCTCATAGAAAGTCCTAGAAAATGATTGCCCGTCGGAGGTACCCTCACAGACTGTTCCAGATGGTAGGTAAACATCCATATGATATCGGATAGCTGACAGTCCGAGATTTTCTCTATTTTATTTCCACAAAGTAATTATCAATCATAAATCGAATTGGGTAAGAAGACTCGGGCGTCCATCTGTAAGGAGAACACCTCCACAAATAAATATAAGTCCTCTGTTGTTCACACTTCTCTTGCCCACGAGCTCACTCCAGCTCATAGGCTCGATATCTCTAAAACCACCTTGATGTTCGTTGACGTCTAGAAAGTCAAACAAGCATGACCTTATCAGTCGGTCGGCCAGTGAAGCAAGTGTGAAAATCAGAGCTTTTGTTGTTTGTAGCGCTTATCAAATGAGCTGTCAGTTTGGATAGAAAAATGCTTAGAACAGGTGGAATTCTCGTCAGATACAAACTGCCGTTTGATGGCCCAAAAGCACCGAGAACTTAAGGATTGTGACAAGGGTGAGCCTACTTGACTCCACTTCCGTTGATTAAATTCATAAGACAATCATCCAGGCTGGAAGGCTTTGCATTCTCCAACAACTAGCTCGTACCAGGTTAAATAATATGAGCTCAAAACACTCATTATGACGATTCAAAAGTGAAAATGATTTCACTCCCATACAACGAAAACTGGCAAACTAGTGGGTAGGGTGAAACATTACAATAATCTGAGAGATTCAACCCG